CGCCTTACTGGATCAAGGATCCACTTTCAGTTTTATTTCGCAATCGCTCTGTCAGACGTTGCGTACAAAGCGACAACGCTCAAATTTGCAAGTTACGTGTTTCGGCGAGAAATTTACAGGCGTCGCGAGATCTCGCGTCGTGCTGACATTAAAGCCGTGTTCCAGTGCGGAACCGGCCTTTCCGCTGCACGCCTACGTGTTTCAAAATATCACTTCGTACGCCGCGTCACGGACTCAGCCCATCGAGTCGTGGCCTCACTTGCAAGGCATCTCATTTGCCGATCCCGATCCTTCAAGTCGACATCGGATTCACCTACTAATCGGTGCCAACTTATACGGTTCCTTGTTGAAAAATGGCCTCCGGCAAGGCCCTATTGGAACGCCTACCGCTCAATTGACAGCGTTAGGCTGGATTATCTCCGGCCCCACGGGTCGCGGCCGGATTGAATCCGAGAACGTTTGCGTCTGTCATAACGTGTCTACGCACGACACGAATTCGCTTCTCAGGCAATTTTGGGAGGACGAGGAGGTCTCGCGCCCCCCTCCACTTACCGACGAGGAGGAGCGTTGCGAACAACACTTCTTCGCCACTCATAGCCGTTTTCCAGAAGGACGGTACATTGTTCGATTGCCCTTCCGGCACGAACTACCAATCGACATAGGCGATTCCCTGCCTATCGCCACGATATTCTACGAGAAAATGGAAAGGAAGCTAAGTCGGCACGCCGAACTCTCCGCGCAGTATAATGACTTTTTGGCGGAATATCTCGCCTTGGGACATATGAGCGCGATCGAAAGTCCCTGCGACACCGCTCTTACGCCCGTGTACATTCCGCATCATTCGGTTTTGCGCGAAACGAGTAGTACCACGAAGTTACGCGTCGTTTTTAACGCCTCGTGCAAAACGACGAACGGCACGTCGCTTAACGACCATCTGCTGGTCGGACCGAAGTTACAGCAAGATCTCCCCGCTATTCTGCTGCGCTGGCGGCAGTGGCGTTTTGTTTATGCAGCAGACATCGCCAAGATGTTCCGGCAAATCCTCGTGAATAATCTCGATACCGACTTCCAACGAATTCTCTGGCGTCCGTCCTGCAACACGCCGATCATGCATTTCCGGCTTTTGACCGTAACGTACGGGCTCGCTCCCGCTCCATATCTCGCGATGCGCGTTTTGAAACAATTGTCGTTAGACGAAGGGTCCGACTATCCGGCGGCCGTCCCGATACTACGCGACTCCGCCTACGTCGACGACGCGCTATTCGGTGAGGATGACGTCGCGTCGCTGATGGAATGTCGCGAGCAATTGACGGGACTCCTTCAGCGAAGGGGCTTTCAATTACGGAAATGGGCGTCGAATTCGCCTGAATTGCTGCGCGATTTGGCAACGCGTCAAACCGACATGGAGGATCACCTCCTTCAGCAGGACGAGACCCTTAAGGTACTCGGAATTTCGTGGCTTCCCCACGACGACACGTTTCGTTTTCAAGTGGAC